GGGCCGGGCCAGGCCGCCAGAGCCGCAGCCCCGCCGGCCTCGGTCGGAGTTGCCGGGAAAGGGCCCTCACGGATCGGGCGGTTTCTCGCCGTGACCGGGGGCTGCTCTTTCTCAGGAGATGGTGGGTGAGGAAGGGAAGGCGGGGGAAGAAGCGCTTGCATCCTGGAAGCACATAAAAGTCCAGGACAAGTTTTCTCCTCTAACTTTATCCTTATTCTGTGCCCTTCTACTGCATTTCCAACACTACTTTTGTTTTCTTCCAAAAGGCTGAGTAATCTTGCTTGGTTTGTGTCATCCCATCAGCCTTGCTTGTGATCGACGTTTTCCGTTGGTCCAGGACTTTATCCTCCTCCTTTTCTGGAATTGTTTACCTCTGTCTACACCATTGTTACCATTAACTGTATTTAAAACACCAAATGCTTTTTTAATGGTGTGAAGTGTCACCTTTGTAGAGAAGGGACATTCTAAATTGATCAGTGGAGACAAGAGCTACTTGGTTTATGTTTGGGATGAGTCCCGGGTTATTTGGAGCCAGGAATAACCTGATGGAGAAGAGAGATAACATGGGTGAATAGGATATAATTCATCAATATTGCTTTGTGGTGCAGTGTGGGGCTCTTTATCCAGCTGCCTCTGTTTGATCCTTACAAAACAGCACATCAACAATAAATATTGCAGGGTATAGTCCTTTTTTGTCTCGTGCTGCTTCAGTCCTCTAGAACTGCTTAGACCTTTCTGTTGTGTTGGCTTAAAATTCAGCCTGCTGGTTTTTGAAGGAGATGTTAGCTGAGGTGAGAGTCTTGCTCATAGTGGATAGCTTTGCAAACCACATCTGGCAGAAGTGTTTTGGGTTTGGGCTTTTTTTTAATACTAGTCTCAGCAGAGAAGTTGAAATGTGACTATTTAGGAGGCATTGATAACTGATACAGTGTTTTGAGCGAATATTAAAGATAAGTAAGAAGAGCTTTACTGAACTTTGAATGTTATTATTAATAACATTAGAAAGTGAAAAAAAAAATGAAAGGAGCTGATTGGAAACGGAAATAATAATAATAATAATCCCCATTTTTAGAAAAGGAAATAAACAGGACCAGGGGAACTACAGGCCAGTCAGTCTCATCTCTGTTCCTGGCAGGATCATGGAGGGGACCCTCCTGGAAAATGTTGCTGGGGCACATGGAAAATAAGGAAGCGATTGATGACAGCCAACATGGCTGCACTAAGGGCAAATTGTGCCTGACACATTTGGTGGCCTTCTGTGACAGTTACAATGCTGGTGGGTAAGGGAAGGGCACCTGGAGTCATTACATGGACTTGTGCAAAGCATTTGATACTCTCCTGCGTGACATCCTGTCTCTGACTTGGAGAGATGTGGATTTCATGGATGGAAATCGACTGCATGGTCACACTCAAGTTGTTGTGGTGGATGCTCTGTGACCAAGTGCAGAGCAGTGACAAGTGACGTCCTTGGGGGTCGGGGTTGGCACCGGTGCTGTTCAACATCTTTGTTGGGGACAGGGACGGTGGGATCGAGGCACCCTCAGCAAGTTCTCCACCGACACTGAGCTGTGTGTGTGGGGACACGCTGAGGGAAGGGCTGTGCCATCCAGAGGGACCTGGGCAGGCTGGAGAGGGGGGACGGGCCAACCCCATGGAGTTCGAGGAGGCCAAGGGCAAGGTCCTGCCCACAGGTCGGGGCAATCCCAGCACAAACCCAGGCTGGGCGAGGAGGGGATGGAGAGCAGCCCTGGAGCCCGCCTGGAGGAGGCCATGAAGATGCTCGGGGCGCTGGAGCACCCCCTGTGAGGACAGGCTGAGAGAGTTGGGGGGTTCAGCTGGAGAAGAGAAGGCTCCGGGGAGACCTTAGAGCCCCAGGGCTGAAAGGGGCTGCAGGAAAGGGGGGGACGACTCGTCATCAGGGGGAGGTATAGGACGAGGGGGAACAGGGTTAAACTGACAGAGGGGAGATTTAGATCAGATCTAAGGCAGAAATTCGCCCCTGTGAGGGGGGTGAGGCCCTGGCACAGGTTGCCCAGAGAAGCTGCGGCTGCCCCCTCCCTGGAAGGGTTCAAGGCCAGGTTGGACAGGGCTTTGGGTAACCTGGGCTGGTGGAAGGTGGCCCTGCCTGGGGCAGAGGGTGGGACAGGATGGGCTTTAAGGTCCCTCCCAACCCAAACTGGTCTGTGGTTCTATGAAACTAACTGAATAATTGCATGATCCTGTGACTTCATAGTTATCTTTGCAGTTATGTATGAAGTTGTATTGTGTTACTTTTGTCTTCTCTGGCCGCCGCCTTCTCTTTCCAGTTGCCTTTGACCTTCATTTGTTGCATGAAATGTGTATTTTTTACCAGGAATTTTATTTAGGCTCATAAGTGTGTGTCACAGAATGTGTTCCAGTTACAGAATCTGTGTTAATTTTAAGACAGACTCATATTTCAGAGTTTTAAATTGGTTTGTGGAGAAATTGAGGGGAAAAAACACCTTATTTTTTAAAACAGCCTATAGCATGCTTGTTCTAGAGCTCAAAGGCCCGATAAATACGGAGTCTTTGACTTGTAGGCATTCTTTACAGTAAAAACCTGCCTATTTTCAGTGGGTAGGTTAGCTGTTGAGGCACATAAATGTAAAATGTAAAAATTGTATTGATCTGATTTTCTTTTGGTAGATGTTACCTAAATTGTTGTAAGACTTCCCTAATCTGATGGTGAAAAAGAAATGAGATGCAGTACTTGAATATCATAAAGCTGTCTTAACAACAGTATCAACAAATCACCTGGTCGTAAGCCCCACTAGGGCTGATGTGGAAAACTGGCATTCATTTTTGGGGTGTTGTTTAATGCTTCACTGATACAGTTTTCTCGAAGTAGATACTTCTGGATTGCTGCAGCAGAAAATTTTCTCTTGTTTTTCTTTTCAGTGCAAATACTGGAGTTAGTTCAAGAAAATGTATTTGAACTGCTAAAACTGATCTTATATATAAATTATTTCTCCTTAAGAGGGACTACATCAGAAATATAACCATTTAGATGTTGGACTATTATCTGCCTAGTTCACTGATATTTGGAGGGCTTCTTCCTTCTCAACATAAGTGGAAAGATGGAGAAAAAACAATTTTGTTAAACACAGGAAAGGGGGACAGTATCTGTTCAAACTGTTCTTCATGTGAAAAGTCAGTGGAAAACTTGGATGCTATGCTGTACGTTTTTGAAGCCACCTGTGTCTGTGTACCACTACTTGCTCATAATGCTTAAGAACCAGCATTGGTGGGTGAGAAAGGTCTTGCAGGTGTGTCTGTGCTAGAGAGTGTATTGTGTTGGAGATGGAGTTGACACACCAAGCTACCACAAGCAGTCAGTCAGTGGCATCAGAGTACCTTGAAAACTTGCTCTTCTCCCCCACCATCATAAATATATATATATAAGTCCTTGAGCAGCTGTGACAAACTGCTTCTAGTAGCTCAGACTGTTTTAAAAGTAATTTCTTTTTATGTATCACCTTCAGCTTTGGTCAAATCTACATTCCAATTATGCTTTTGCATTTACTGAATTCATTTAGGTCCTTGGTGCAACTGGGGAAACTACATGTGTGCACTTAGCTGAAGTTTGTGGTCATCGGCTTGAGCAGCAAAGACCTGACTTTTTAATGGATTGATAAAAAAATATAACCTGGTTTGAACTTCAGTTTTTGAAGGTGTTTGTAATTTATGGATTGCAAATGTCATTTAAAAAAAAAAAATAAAAAATTAGTGATTCTTCCCCTCTGCTTTCTGCTCTTCTGGTTTCTGGTCATCTACACTTCAAGGACTTCTAGGGCTAGAAGGAGGATCCTTCTGGTTATTTAAGAGCTATATTTCTTTTTGTCTTTGGCTGCAGAGCATAGAGTGAAGGGGTGGCAGGAGATGGCAGAGACACCTGTGTCCAGTATCAAAGGTGTGAACACGCAGTTTATTTTAACAGTAACAAAAAAAATGACCTTTCGGTTCCTTTTTGAGATACCCCTGAGCATTCTGTTAGCAGAGTGGTTTCATCAGGCTGTCTGCAGTGACTGCTCCTGAGTGGCATGAGCTAATTTACGTAACCGTAATAGTTTTTACTAAGAAAAAGCACATTCTAAGTTCATTACTTGGTATTTAATGACACTTGGTGACAAAATGTCAGCTCGAGATCAGTCAGTATAGATTCCTTTCTGAATTCTTCAGTCAACTAATACTTGACCCCCTGGGTAGAAAAGTATCTTCTGCACATTTGTCATCATCTTATTCACAACCTTTTCCAGATCTTTCATGAAGATGAGCAGCACAGATCTCAACACTGATTCCTGTTGGATTCCACTGGTAACTCTCCTCATTGTGAAAAATGGCCATTTATTTTTATCCTTTGTTTCCCCTCTTTTAACCAATTGTTAATCCTCAAGAGTCCCTTCCTTTTTATCCTTGACAACTTAGTTTCTTTAAGTGTTTCGGCCTGTTGGAAACTTTGTAGAAACTCCATACACCCTGCCTGTAAGGGAAGCACTGTAACAAGAGCTTGTGGAAACCTAAGAATTCTGCTACATTTGTGAGATTTAAATTTTTTCTGCAAAAAACATATTCCTCATTCTGTTACATATATGTATCTGCTAATTACTTGTATTATTATTGCCTTTGTTTTGCCTAATACTTAAGTAAAATTTACTGGTATGTAGCTTCTCTGAAATCCCTCACCCATTGGGATCCCTGCTGGCCACCTTTGATTTGTCGTTATTCACACTTTTTCACACAAGAGCTGATTTATATTACTGCATTGAATAGTTAAACATTTGTTTCATAGAGCTGCTTTAGAAGTCAGGTGAATGACACCTGGTCCTGGTCCTGTCCAAACTGATGATACAAGGAAAATGAAAACAAAACAGAACCAGGAGAGTGCCATAAAATACAAGTTTTTCTACCTTCTGTTGTGAAAAAAATTGCACAGTAAAATGGAAATAATTTGGGTGGGCTATCAACCACTATTTTTAAAACCATCCACTGTGTTGAGGGGTTGGAGCAGAATTTTAATGGGTTTTTTAGAAACTTTTGGAGGGTCTTTTAAGAACAGATAACAAATTTTCCAGCACATGCAAGTTTGGGGAGATAACTGCTTTTATAACATCATTTGCTGTAACAAAGACTGTCACTAAACTGTTTGTGTAATTTTAATATATGGATTAATATGTGATTTTAATATGTGGAATTTCCTTGATTCAGTTTCGTTCTCTTTTCCCATTCTTGATGACACTGAGACTGTTAAGTTGCTTTTTAGCAAAGGTGATGTCTTCTTTGCATTTATCTGCTACTTGCATTTATTTTTACTTCTTAACAGCATAGAAACCCGATAATTTCTATTATAAGACATTAACTCTTCTGCTGTAGGAGATTTTTGGGTAGCAGTTTTTATAATGCAGCTGATTTCTCTTTGGCAATAATTGGCCTGTAGCTGAGAGACTTGTTACTAAAACAGCAGAGTCTGAGTGTGTTAGGGGAGAATTATTTTGTTTGCTTTGAAGGAAGTACCTACTACTTCAGAGAAAGGTGCGAGGGAGCAGGGAGACAGACAATAGTCATACAGATGTGCTGTAATAGCACAAAGTACACTTTGTGAAATGTACTCAAGACCTTAAACAAGAAGGTTTGCTCTTTGCTTTCTTACCTCTCTTACTGAGCCTTTATTTAAAATGAAATGAGAAATGCTTATGTAAGTTCTGGGAGTAATGATTAAGGCAAAGAATGCTTATTAATGAGTTAAAACAAAATACTGTATCTGTTGGTTTGGTTTTTTTTTTTCTTCCCAAGAAAAAAATTTAAATCAAGAAAATACAGGGCTGCTGCTGAAACTAAACTTTTGCATATGTGTGTATATATATGTATTTATTACAATAATTATATGTGAAAGATTATAACTTAAAGTGAACTGCTTACTCTTTTTAGATAGCTTATTTGGGACTTTAACAGTATTGCATCACGATATTGCTACAAGGGTATGCATTCATCAGTGTATCTGTATGCATTATCCTGCACATCTGAGCACATTAATCCTACATGTTTTCCCAAACTGTAACATACCATTTGGTATATGACCCTCTCCATTACTGATTATATGTGCCGGCTTGTTGTTGAATTCATCTTAATGTGTGGGGATGATGAGTCATTCTTACTGAGAAGACATTTTGCTTTTTTCTGGCTTCTGATGGACGCTTATTGAGTGACTGCTCTTTTGCAGGTGAAGTGGATGATGTACTGGATTGTGTTTGCCTTTTTTACCACTGCAGAAACACTCACAGACATTGTTCTTTCTTGGTGAGTCCCTTGGTGGCATGGCGCTTTTTGTTGGGTTTGTTGTGGGTTTTTTTTTTAAAGAAAAGAGGAGTAGTGTTAGGATGCTAAGCATAAACTGTCTCTCCTTTAGGGGTTTTCAATCCCTATGAAGAGTCTGCAGGTTTGTAGATGCTATCTGTAGTAGCTGTTGTTTTAGCTGTTTCATCTCCTGTGCTTGCAAACAGTTACAATAAATACACAGTATCTGTGAGAGGATCTTCATTCATAACAAAATATTTTTGAGAACCTGTTAATGTGAACTGGTAAAGTTTGAGAAAGGTGGTCTAAAAGACACTTTAAAAAGATGGTAGAAGGAAGGGACCTGTTTTGCTTTGCAAGCCTGTTGTGTGGAGGAGCAGCTCAGATGCATGTCTGTGCTCCAAGTGGTGTTCTGCATGACGAAACACTAGCGGGGTTGGGGTGGAGTGGAGTTGGGGGAAGCAGATTGTTAATCCTTTCAGTGTTGTGTGTCATGCTTGGCAATATGGAAGCCTCCAAAAATGACAAATCATTGTTGCATATCTTCAGCTGAACCTTTGGAAGGGAATATCTTCTGTTTCTTCATTGCTTTAGTGCATGCATCTCTGAAAGAATACTTGTCAAGAGTTGCATTTTTTTAAAAAAAAGTGGCTACACAGGCCTTACAGAAGTGCTCAGCACTTTTGCCTCTTCCTGTATTAGCCTTGAAAAGCAGACAAAGGTCCAAAAAATACAAGAGCTTTGGCTTGTTTACCTACTGAAAATGGACCACTGAAAACAGAAGTCTTTTACTGCTCATAGAGACAGTAGGAAGTTTGTGTTCACTTGTTTTGATCTCTACTACTGCATCTTCCCAGAGACCTTACTGTAAGGGTTAGAGATGACAGACTTACGCTGCCTGCTCTTTTTCACTTACACTGTTGCTCCTCTTGTGTCTTATCTGGGGAGTACCACTGGAAGTTTCAGAAACTGAGCCATCAGCCTTAGCAGGAATTTGAGATTTGTTGAGATACATAGTTGAAAACTTTTGAAAATGAAAGGGAAACTGGTGTTGTATTAATGTCCAGTGGATACTCTCTGAACCAAGTTCAGGATGATGAGAGTAGCTATCAGATTGTAATTTGGTGTGTTTGCAGGGCTGAGAGATGCCCTGTTTATGGAGTTTTCATGGCTATGGATGAAAGACTAAATGAGACTCGAAGAAGGTATGTCCTAGGATTCCAAAGAGGGTTCTGCTATACTAATTCTTTTGTTTCCAAGCCTTTATCTTGCCTTTGCTTCTTCTGCCTATGCTGCTCTCTACCAGTTATCTCCATCTGTCTCTGTGCTGATCTTGATTCCAGTTCTCCATCTTTCTCTCTCTCTCTCTTTTTTTTTCTTCCCTCCTTCTCTCAGGTTTCCCTTTTATTTCGAGCTGAAAATTGCATTTGTGATTTGGCTGCTCTCCCCTTACACCAAGGGCTCCAGTGTCCTCTACAGGAAGTTTGTGCACCCAACGCTCTCCAATAAGGAGAAGGTACTTGTTGTTAGAAGATACTGACCTAGCTAGGAGCTGGCTGACTTCTGACTCAGTTATGCCACAATAAAAACTGAAATGTGTGAATCGTGCTTGTGCTGGCAGTAGTGGATGTAGAATGATTTTGTCTCTGACAACAATGTCATACTGCAGCTTACTGAAGATTGTGATGTAGCCAGTAGTTTGCCTAATGCTTAGAAAGCACGTTTGGCTAACCCAGCGTCATGAACCCTTACAGCCACTGTCAGTAGTTAAGCTCTTTGAATCACGATAGGAGCAGCATGTTTTGTAGCTATGCAGTTTTTTCACATTGTCTGTATAAGCAACTGCTTTGTTTCAGTTGTTACCATTTTGAAATAGCATACTTTTAAGTAAAAGTTGCATTTGCAAGCTTTCTGTAAGTAGCAGAGAAACTGCAGTTACATGATCAATGACAGCAGATGCTGATAGCCTGTAAAAAAGCTTCCAGATGAGCTTTGGGTTTTTAAGGGTGATGGTGGGGAGACTTTGGTCATGTTTGTAACGAGGAGCTAAATGCCATGTTCCACATTGCCTTCCTAGGAAATTGATGAATACATTACTCAGGCTCGTGACAAGAGCTATGAAACCATGATGCGAGTTGGCAAGAGAGGGTTAAACCTTGCTGCCAATGCAGCAGTTACTGCAGCTGCAAAGGTAATGCAACACCTTCTGTAACATTCAGGAATTCCCCGGCAGTTTAGTTTTGTGTGCCAGCAATTAGTGTTATGGGTCTGTTAGGGATGCTGGTACTTGTTGGCACCAGTCTACATTGCCTTTCCTCCAGTTTGCCTTGCAGTTAATTCCATCCTTTGCCTTAGGAAAAGTGGAGGGAGAGTGGAATAGATTTTGCTTTAACCTCTTCTTTGTTGGTCTTGGGAGCATACTTTTCTTTTTCCCTTCTCTGTTTTTTTCAGAGTACCCCAGTTGGGAATAGGGCACCTTTCCTCCTCTTCTGAATGATCCCATGTGAGATGATCTTGGTGAAGGTGAAGTGACCTTGACCCTAATTTTTATGTCCTCTTAGGGTCAGGGAGTTTTGTCTGAAAAGCTGCGAAGTTTCAGCATGCAGGATCTCACTCTGATACGGGATGAAGATACTGTGCATATGAGAGGCCATGAGCCACAGCTGCACCCCTCTGGTGGGAGTCTTCTTGAAACAATTGAGGATTCAGGTACAGAACAGCCCAGCTGGGCCACTGTGTGAAGCCTCATGTGGTGAGCCAGGAGGGAAGGGCTGGTTCCCTGGACTTTTCATGCATTGGGTCTCGGAAGGACCGTGAGACTCCAAATTATCTGGGAGAAGTTGCGTTGTCTTCCCTAGTCCCTTCACATCTGCTAACACATTCCTGTACTTGTTTGGATTCTCCCTCTTAGGGATTGTTGACATCTCCCTTTCATGTGGTCCTTCAGGATGGGCCATTTTAGACATCATGTGATTTTTCAAAAGTGTTTGCTGAAACTTTCTTTTTCCTTAGCTTCCTGTTACTCCTCAGGAGAGGAGAGCAGTGTGGCACAGCGGTCTAATGGAACCCTGTCGGAGACCAGAACAGACCCATCAGATGAAGATGGAGGAGACAAACTTCCTAAACGTACCCAGAGTCTCAAAACTCCTAAGAAGATGATGAAAGCTGAGGTGAGGTGGTGTGTAAATTATTTCCAGCACTGACATTGATTTGTGAGCTTTGTTGGAAGGCTTTGGCTTTGTGGTCTCAGTGCATTTAAAAGGAGTTTGTACAAACTGTGTTGGACTAAGTCTTTGCTAGTTGAGTCCTACATCAGAGGACTTGCTGTCTACTTGCTATACTAGTTTCTAGCTTTTGTATTTTTATCATGCCTGTGAAACTCTGCTGTAAGCCAGGACCCAGCTTTGCTTTCATTCAGGTTGTGTGTTGAAGGTGGGGCCTTAGATATTTTTAACATGTTTTGTTGACTGTATCCTCTCTCCTGTCTGTTACAGTCTAAATATGTAATATAATACTATTGTGACATTTAGCCACTTTCTCCTCATCTGAAATGCAACAATTCTATACCCTCTTAGGCCTTCCTGGACTTCTGAATATTAGATATGGGGAAAATGTAATTTCCTCCTTCACACCACTCCCCACCCCCCTAACTTCCCTCCACCCCAGGGTTTTGTCCTGAATTTTGGGTAACTAGTCACTCTTGAGCTGTCCCGTCCATGTGATGATCCAGGATACTTACAGCCATTCAGATGGGACATGAGTTGCCTGTATTATTATTAAAACAAACCGTACATGAAAATAAATGCAGTTTTGTCCAGGAGCCATTTTAGCTTAACAGTCTCTGGTTTCAGCTGTGGTGTGTTCTGTAGAACATGCTTTTTGAGGTGCTGCTTTCCAGGTTTTGACTTGTACTTTAATGTTTCTTGTGGTTTGATTTATACCTAATACAATGCTTCTCCCTTTTTGTGAAGTTGGGATCCTATTTATTTGATTCAACTTGGACTCTTAATTCGGGTTTTTATTTTTATTTAAGATAGAGTGTTGTATGACTGGCTCACATTGTCAAACTTTTCAGGCTAAATTAAATAATTGGGGGGAAAGTAATTGCTTAAAGCATCATTTTAAGTTATACTGTTAACCTGATTTTATAGTGTACAGGACACCTTTGCATGTGATTAAGTATTCTTTGTAACAATCACAAAACAGCTGAGGTTGGAGGGGACCTCTGGAGATCATCTGGTCTGACCCCACTGCTCAAGCAAGGCCATCTAGAGCCGGTTTCCCAGGACCATGCCCAGATAGCTTTTCAGTATCTCCAAGGATGGATATGTATGTCTAAAGATGCATTTAAAATCAGCTTGGATCTTTTTTAAATTGCCAAGGCTTACTTCTGAGTTGATCCCTCTGCTTTCTTCTGTAGCATATTAGACAGGAGCAGGGAAACAAGTGGTTCCAAGCTTCCTAGCAAGGAATTTTTAATGTGAAATTGTGAAATTTTCTGTGCTGTTCATTTTGAATACAGAAATTCCGATAAAGCCCTTTGCAGCCATACTGGGTTTTATGCTCACTCTGTTTGGATCTTCAGTTCAGGTGTAGGAATTGTAGGAGGTCTTTGGCTGAGGCCTCCAAGATTGCCCAGAAGGACCGAATGCATTGTAGATCATAGGTGCACTCTTCTTGCCAATATCTAGAATGAAAGACACTCGAGTAAAGCATGCAAACTAGTCCAGGATGTTTCAAGAAGCAGAAAAGTTACAGCAGTGAAGTGTTATGTGAATGTTATCAGTTAGAAATCCTACTATGTCTAAACTTTTGTTGAGACAGCTGAGTTGGATTTATTAACACACTTGTCCAGTTTTAGGATGTCTTCCTCTCCTGATTGCTATTTGATAGATATGCTGAGAGTGGTTTGTTTGTTAACCAAAACCAAATGGAATGGATAAGTAGCTGTTCTGAAAGAATGGATGATGTGAATAGGGTCATCATCTTGTAGTTTCGTCTGATTTTCACTCTGCGTTCTTGTATCTTTCTGCTAAGCATTCAGGTGTTAAACTAACCTAAGATGCCTCTTTTTTTTTTTTTTTTTTCTTCCTCAGCTTCCAGTAAGAAGTGTGAAAGCCCGCCCTAAGAAGAAAGCTGCAGGCTCCCTTGCTTCTGGCGAGTCATCCTAAGGAGACCTCCCCCTCCCCAGCACCTGTCTCTGTTCCGGGATTTGCCTGTCACTTTTGAGGGGAAACTCCCCAAAGGAAGGGAGCCGAGATTCATGTACATAACAGATACTGCTTTGTAGAGCTCATTCCAAGGCAAGGGGGAGGCTGGGATTCAGAAAATGGAGTAGAGGATACACATCCTCTGGAATTTTCTCCTTTTCATCTCTCTGTCAGACGGAATGCTGATATGTCTGTACATAGCCTGTTGCTTTGGAATTCCCACTGTATAACCCTAGTTGGGGAGAATCTTTGCTGGAACAACTGACTAGGGTTGGAGACAGATTTCTTCTTCTTGCACAGAAGCTGGAAAAATATTAGACGCTGGAGTTCCACAGGGGTGGGTGGCTCCCTAAAATGTCTTATCTTGCTCTGGGTATTCTTCTGCAGCTGTGTGTTGTTAAGAAGTGCCCACCATGATTCATCCTCCTTAAGAATGAACTGTATCTGTCATGTCCATCCCCTTTGAGAAGGTGACTGAAATGGTGTATGCTGAGTGCTTTTGAACATAGAGGACTAGCTCATGGGAGGAGTATGCTAGATTCGCATTACTAGTACTGGAAGATGAAGAGATTGGGGATTATTTCATTTTTTCTGGAAGCTGAAGGGAGATAACTGAAAAACTGAGTGCAATGGAGTAGGTGCAGGTATCTGTGAGAGTTAAATATTGAGAAGGGAAGTTGGGCATCTGTAAGATTTTGGCTCTTCTTGAAGCTGCTTGAATTTTGTTTCAGGTTCTGTTGTTCACTTTGATTCCTGTGAGAGTATCAGCATGAGGCGAGTCCCCTGCAGTGGGAAAAGTTGGCAGAGAGACTGTTGCTTTGCCATTTAGTGATTGATCATGTCAGCCCGATGCTTGTTGCTACAGACAAATCCTTTTGTTCTAGCAGATGACTGGGGAGAATCTGGTTCAGTATAGCCCGTGAGCATACTTGAGAATTTCAGAAGTCCTTATCCCTCAGCCTTAGGAGATCCAGTCCTCAGGGCATGAGAGCTGATAAACAGCTGATGCATGAATTTCACTAGTTCCAGGATTCCATTTATGGGGGATAAAAAGCAGGGAGTAGGGCACAATACTCTGATCAGTCAGTCCTCTTGCTTTATGCTACTGCAGCCCTTGCACAGATTTTCTGTCTGACCATGTGCCATGTTCATCAGATTCCTGAGGCTCGAGCAATTTATAACACTTGGGACAGAACTATATTGAATGTAGAATATGTATTGCAGGAGTGAAATTGCAGAGCTGCAGAGAGAATTCGCATCATGCCAAGCCATGCTGGGTTCTAATCTGTTGAACATTGAGGGGAGATCCCTTGTAGGCAGGCCAACAGGGTCAGTGGGAATTTATGAATTAGGGTTCTTGGTGAGATCTATAATGGGGGGACCACCATTATAGACTTGGTTGTCTGAATGAGTACTTGATGGTCTTAATCTTTACTAAAACTACTTATGGAAGGAACCTGGCTCCTCCTTCCCTACTGAAGACCATTCTTAGCTCTAGGTGCAGGTATTTGTGTTTGCCCAGTATTTTGCTGTTGACAATGTATAGAAGCACTTCTGCGAGTAACGTTCCACAAGTACTTCTATCCTAAAGAATAGCCCTTCAAAAGTTTGTAAAGTTGAAGGTTAGGACTGAATTTTTTCTTGTTTCCCATTGTCTTGGTGAGAAATTGTTATGAATTGACTAGTTATTTTAGGAAACCAATTAAGTTGTTTTTACTTTTATTTGTAGCTTTTAAACATTGAAGTCCTGACAGACGTCAGAAACTTCCATCCTGCCAGAAATACTGTCCTAAATTATCCACAAGGCCTTATGCAGAAGCCAGTAGAAAATCCTTGATGCACAAAAGAAAAGCAAGTATTTTGTTATTTTTAGTTTAACAGACATTGTATATGTGTCTCACCGGTACATGCAAAGGCATGTTCTGAGCAGGAATTCTGCTTCTGAAGGAAATTCCCCTCTTCCATACAAGGGATAGAAAATTTTTACCGAGTATGTGGAAGATTCAGGTGTAAGGAATTTCTGTCCTAGCTTTCGCTGTATGGAACAATATAGAATCATTATTCTCTATATACCAAGTACCTATATGAGCACATTTCTTGAAAAATTTTTTCCTTTAACTAAAAATTTCCATAGCAAATTATTTATGTAAATCATTGTGAGGGGACTTGATTTGGAAGCCGAGGTTTGGTTAGTTTCCCCTTATGCCAATCTCCACGCTTTTTCCTTGCACATGTATGGTGATAGCCTTGGATTACTTGGTTTTCATACAGTGACTTTCCAGAATGTTTTCTAGAATCAGTTCATTTGTAGTAACTCTTCTTTCTTTGCAGCACAGGAGGAATCTCTAAAGACTCAGTTTTGGCATTTGGATTTACCTTTGTCTTCCTGAGCTAGGTCCTGCACTGAGTATCTTACTTAGCATTGATACTTGATGTCATTAGTCTGTGAGTAAGTATGGGTCAGTCTTACTCTGACTTTGGTTGAAGAGGAAATTAAATGAATTCTGGTTGTAAGGGAGAGTCTGGAGCAGAGTCAGGGACTATTATCTAGTGTATGATACAAAGCTGATGATGCCAAGCAGCAGAACTTACCCAGAGCAAGAACAATGTCTTAGCATAGACACTATTTTCTTCTTCCAGTACAAATGTGACTGCTAGATTGTGCTCTGCTTGATCAAAGCCTCTGCGGATCTGCCACCACCCATGTGATCTCTTAGTGAGTTTCTAGATATAGTTCTGCATTGGATGGCATGGTCTTGCATAGAAATTCTCTTGTTAATGAGAACGCTGAATGTGCTGTTTTGATAAAATGCTTTTATCAGCTGTTGTTCAGTGTTTTCAGCAGGAAATGCTGGAATGTAGTTTCTCTTCAGTATCATCTGTGGGCTTCGTTGTGCAGTTAAGCAAATGGTTAAATCTTTATCTAGCAGTAGAACCCCTTGTATTCAGTAAGTGTTTATACCCCTTTCCTAATACACCTGGGCACAAAGAGAAACCAGTAAAAGAAAATAACTGAAGTGGGAGGGGGGGAGATAGGGGCATGGTATGTGTGTGTCATACTTTGTGTGCCTAAAAATTATCCTAAAATACCTGCACCTGAGATATAACGTGAAGCCATGACTGTCTTTTGGAAAGAAACGTTGTACCTCCATGCTGTATAATACTATGAGTCAGTGTTCTGCTGCTGGAAAAGAAAATAGTGAAATGTGTGAAACTTAAGGATTTGCTGCATAAAAGGGAAAACGGTTTCTTGCTTGGCAGTATCCTTCATGGTGGGTAAGAAATAGGAAGGTACAGGAGAGACTGCTGTCAGGTTTTAAACCTTATACTTCAGCTGAACATCTTAATTTCTTACTGTTCTTCATTGAGTTTCTGGTTTGGTTCTCCAGCCTTATGTTTCCAAGTCTGGGCGACTGATTTCTTTTAGACTAGATTTAACTTCCTTGGTAGGTAGAGGGTGTATTAGAGAGGGATGCTGGTGCTCTTAAAATTGCAAAGCTTTTTCTGGGGAAGCTACACCTTCCTCTGTTTTAGTGAACTGAGTTCCATTCATTATCCTTTTGCAGTGCTGGGCTTTCTTTTTTATACATCCCCCTTGGAAGTATGACTCTCACAATATATGGCCAAGTAATTTCTGCCTTCAAAAGCAAGATTTCTGGAGAACCCCAACTTTCCAGAAATTGTTATTCATTCTTTGCCATCTTAATCATCAGGAAATATAGTGCCTTAGGAGGAAAGTGGGATGACTGTGGAATACTCTGCTGTTTCTCTGATCTGCACAGAGCGTTGTGTCTGCATGTTAACTGTGAGGTGTCATCGTATGCTTGAGAGCAGCTGTTGAGCTGAGTGTTCCTATCTGTCTTCCAAAGTTGCATATAATGCTGGAAAGTGTGGCTTATTGCCTAAGAGAAGAATCACTGAAAAAACCCACCTTCTTATCCTTCTTTCTGATGGAGATATGCTGTATTGTGACATTGCTGCTTGCTGAGGAGATGCTGAATCACATCTCTGTGTAACTGATCAGTGCTGCAGCTTCTCTTGCTTTACCCACTAAGGATTTGTAATGTGCCACCTGGCTGAAGCATCTTGTGGTGCTGCTTTCTGAGTTGCCCTGTAAAGTCAGATATGTGGACAACCAGCAAGTATTCTGAAGCTCTGTGAGCTCACAGAGTCATTGAAGTTGGAAGGGACATCTAGTGCCCCTTCCCTGCTAAGGTAGGGCTACCCTGAGCCAGTTGCCAGGAGTTCCTGTGTGCTATTTGTGGTCTGGAGCCTACTGAATGTAATGTTTAAGAGCATGCTGTGTGGGGATGTGCTTTAGTTACTGAGGAGAAAGGATTCCTGGTCACTTTTCACCTGGAATTTGGCACTATTACAAGACATAAACATAACTTGGTCTTAGGTTATTTATAGGTATTAAGCCTAGAGGCTTCAGAAGAGATCTTAAGAGGTGTGCAGAGTAACTTGTGAGAACAGTTGGTTTGAACAGTAAATAAAGGCAATAAACCTGCATAGCATCCAAAAACCTGTCTTGTGAGATAGAGTGGAAAATGAGTTGTCCAGAAAATACTGCTGACTTTGTGATCCTCAAGCAATACTTAAACTGCGCTCTACAGGTTAGAGCCTGGTTTCTCTCCTACAGCACCTCTTTGTGTCTTACCTTTCTAAGCCAGGCTTGAGCTACATGCATGGAGATTCTTGAACCTTTCATCACTTCAGAACAATAAAGTTTGAATTTTACCTCAGCAGGCAGCTGATCTGCAGGGAGGACCAGATGATTATGTAGTATCTCACATCACTTTATAGTAGGTGTGTTATGCTGGGGAAGCGCCAGCAGGGAGCTCCAGAGGATACATTCATCTGGTAAATTACCCCTCCCCCCAAAGCCTACATTTTTGGATGAACCAAATGTTGGATTTTGCTACGCTCATATACACAGCTATCTGTAGAATCCCAAAATTCAGTGTCAGATTTTCCAGAGCTCTAATTATGATGAGAACTGGAATCAAAATAATATGAAGAGAAACAGTGGCAAATTGGTGGGGTTTTTTTTTTGCAATTTTGAAGATTAATTTAGGTCTTTGCTGCTTCTGTGCCTAAAACCTTCTCATAAACCCCTTACAAGCAAACTGTTACTTCCTTGATCTGCTTCTCAGCTCCTTTCCTTTCATGACCCAGTTATGTTACTTACATTTCCTGTTATTAAGCAAAGGACTACTCCATTTTGCTGACTGTGGAGATACAAAAAATACTGTCTTTTAGAGCTGAAATTTAGCCTTTTTCCATTATTTAATCCTGTGACCTAGAATCATACAGTGACTCTCACAACAAGGCCTAAGGCTGGATTCTCAGGTGCAATCTGAACATCTATTGCCAACAGCATAGTTTGATGTATTTCTCTTTTCTTAAAGTGGGTTCTGGCTGAAATGTGCTTTCTGCAGACCCTTTGGACAAGACCATTTTGTCTGTATTTAGCCAAATAATGTTAGAAGAGACGTTTGTGGAAAGGCTGCAAAAGTGAGTGAACTCTAAAGGAGTAAGAGTTCAAGTCTTCTCTAATATATAACTCTCTTGCGACTGTAGGAGATTTGTGGCAGCAGTAGAAATGCACTGCTATACTGACTTATCAAAGATGGGGAATTCAGTCATGTTCTTTGCAGCGGGTCGGGGAGGAGAGTCAGGCTGGATGGTAAGCATATAAAATTTTTACATGCAAGGGAACTGAGTTTTTACCATAAGTAATACTTATAGTAACTTATCAAAAAGAAACCAAGCTGAAAATTTTGGGGGACTTCATAAAACTAGGAGGTTAATTATCCTGATCATCAAACCTAGTATTGAATACAAACCTTTTGTATTCACACTGCTTCCTTTTTGGGAAAGTGCTGAGTTGATGGACTCTTCACTTCTAACTCCTCTGTTAGACTATTTTTCAAATGTTGTGAATGTCACATAGAGATAAATGAAATTTTAATTTTGACATATGACTGTGACTTCATGTCTAAATTCAGCCACGCTGTACTATGTACAAAACTGTTGATTGAGTGAAAGCCTGATAAGAAGATGGGGAAGCTGAGACAGATCTAGCGAGGTAAGGATGGCTGAAGGAACTTTGTTGAAGTGCAGAAATTAGAGACTGTGTATCGATGCTTGGTTTTGATTTAACATTTTCATGACAGTTCCTGTTAGCACAGTGCTGATCTAAAGGCAGTAAGGCACAGGGAGAGTTGTGAATTGCGTTTTGTCCATCAGAGGGTATAAGCATAACCTACAGTCCCTGAAAAGGAGCGAGCAGAAACTTCTCTGGAAACAGTTGAATTAAGACAGCTTGAACGTCAGTATTTCCTGTGTATGAGAGGGAAGGTCCTGCTTAGGAAGGGGTGGGGGAGAGGCAGGGAATAGAATGAGGCTCCAATGGAGAAATATGAAGTAATGCTGCAGTTAACCCCTGATTAAAAAGGCTATTTAAGCTTGCTGGGCTCTCTAATTGGGCCACTTTCCAGTGAGGCTTGCTGAGACAATAGTGTTAGAGAATAACTGTCCTCAAATCTTTGTGTTCTCCATTTAAACAGTTTTCTAGCTGCAGGAAGTGGCTCTGTGAAGGACAATGTTTGTGATTTATTCCACTCCCCCCCCTCCCTTTTGCAGTTAACCAGTTTCTTTGTGTTTGTGTACTCAGTAGTGTTGCCCTAATTTATACATGGAAGTTTGTAGTATTTCCTGATAAGAATGAGTAGTTTCTTTCAATTTGATCTATACTCTGTGAAAATAGAAGCAATTTTAATCTAAAAATACAGATGTATCTAATGGTTACTATGGTAATTTGTGACCATGGCAACAGAGAGATAGCATTCTCAAGAATAGACAGGTTGTCTTTTATTGGTGGTGTTTTCTTTGTTTTTAAGTCAGCAACCTAATTAATGGTGCAAGCACTTCAGGAAAAAGCAGACTTTTATTTCTTAACCATACAAGATCGTATGTGTAAAGTGATTTTGGTATTGTCTCGCATAAGATTTTTATAGAAAAGCTGATGAAGTACAGACTGTATGAGTAGACAGTGAAGTGGTTAAAAAAACTGTCTGTATGGCCAGGCCCAGAGGGTGGTGATCAGTCTCAGGAAGTCTAATTGGAGGCCAGCAGCTAGCAGCACACCCCAGGGCTCAATACTGCATCTAATCCTGTTTAACATCATCGTTAATGATCTGGATGATGGGCAGAGTGTACCCTCAGCAAGTTTGCTGATAACACAAAACTGGGAAGAGTTGCTGATTAGGCCAGAAGGTTGTATAGGAAGAAACAAGAGGTATATAGTGTGTCAGACCTTGCATCTCAAAATATATGGAAATCCTAACAGGAACATAATGAGACAGGCTGAGATTGTTTCCTGTGTTGAGAAAGAGGGTGTCTTTTATGTGCAACAACATAGACAGAGACTTATAGACTGAAGGAAGGTCCAGAATATACCAGGAGGTTACTGTAGAAAAAATAAGTAGAATACAGCATAGGGCTGGGGTTTCTTTATTGTCAGACTTTGTAAGAAAAAAAAAAAAAAAGTTTCTGTTCTGTTTTTTTTTTCCATCATATAACCAGAGTTAAATAAATAACAGTACTTTCAGGCAGGTGCTAAATATCAACGAGTTGTGGATTGCCCTGATGTAGTTGAGACCGCCAAGAGCTTTTATTGCATTATAGGAAACAGTAATGACTTATAACAAATGAATATATATTATTGAGGGAAGTAGGAATGAGCTTTCATGACTAAGACTCATGTTTAGTGAATGGCTATCTCTGCCAGCATATACCTAATGTAAAGGCTCTTTACTAGCAACACTCAATGTCAGTTTTATAAGGAAATGGGCTGCATATAAATTTAGCCAAAACCAAATCACATAATTTTCCAAGCTTTCTTTTTCCCAGGCCCTACTGGGGAATCTAGCAACTGAATGGAAATTGCAGCATTGCTGCTATCACTTGCTAATTTGGAGGAATGAATATCTTGAACTAAATAGAATCTAAACTGCATTTAAAAAACAATTTATTGTTAAATCCAGCTGTTGTGACCATTCTGTATTTGCCACAGAAATACAGTAACTGAACAGTGGAGCCACTGCAGTGCTCAAACACTATTGCCTCAGAAAAGGGATAATAGAGAAAAGGCCATCCCAGACTGAAATGGTCCAACTACTCCAGTCTCCTGTCTGATACTGCTCAGTCTCCCTGCCAACCCGTGGGCAGTCTGGAATTAACACACAT